ATTTTTATGAAGTTAAACATGAAATTAAGAATGAATACGAATTGTCCTGTCTGACTGAGTTAGCAGTACTTGTTTAGTGAGATCAACTCACACTACATGTAAGATCAAACTTAACATGAGTGAGTGACTCTCTAGTCTTATATAGTATACAAGCTTGTTATTCGTTAGTATTGCCTAAACATTTGCATAATCGTTTTGTCTACGTTGTTCAAAGGGGCATAATTTGATTATCTAACTTTGTAAGAAACTTACATTATGCAAATTTTGCAACATACACTCAGCCGCAAGAGAAAATTGTATATAAAGGGTGACTTTGGAGGGTGGATGGTGGGGAATGTTTCTAAACCATTGAATAGTTGTGCTTGTTGAAATACAACTATAACTGCGCCAAACTGCACTATGCTGCACTATGCTGCAATACAGAGCAACACATTGTAGTGCCTAGCAAATCATCCAATCAAAATAAACTTAGTCAATTTGTTGTAATTTACTAGTAATTAGAAATATCATTAAAAAAAACTTTTTACATTTAGTGTTTTGAGAAAAAAAAGTTAAAAAAAAAAAAAAAAAAAAACTGGATGAACTATTTTATTCACATTTACTAATATATGACTGTTCTCTTTCACATGAATCTCAGTTAACAATCCAATAATTATGTCGAAGGACTTTTTCGACAAAGTTATGCATTGATAATTTTTTATCGAAGGACTAGTTTGGGTATGCGCAAAACATCCTGAAGAAATGATCAATCCTCTTTGACTGATGTGTTTTTTTAATTTGTGAGAGAATTAATATACTGGTATCTTATCTGAATAAGAATTTAACTACACTTTCTTGCTCTTCAAACTTTAAATTTTTCTTACTTTGTGTTTTGAAACATAAGTTGTTGGATTTTATTTAATTCATATTCAATTGATTAAAATCTGGAAAGATTTTATTTAAATCAAATTTTCTTAATATACAGTTGTTCTCTTTCATATGAAGCTGAATTAACAATGCAGTAATTATGACAAAAGACTTGTTGACAGAGTTACATATTGATCTTTTTTTCTGTTTGGTGTTTTGAAAAGAAAAACTTAAGTTTTTTAAAAAAAATCAACAGACTGGATGAAATGTATTATTCACGTTTAATTAATATATGACTGTTCTCTTTCATAGAGATCTCAATTAACACTCCAGCACTTATGGGAGGACTTTTTCGACAAAGTTACGTATTGATAAATTTTTATCGAACGACTAATTTGGGTAAGCGAAAAATATTCTGAAGAAATGAACACTCCTCCTTGACTGGTGAGTAATTTTTTTTTTTTTGATTTCCAAGCATATTAATGCTTCTTATCTCCATATGTTTCATTTATAAGAATTTACCTACACTTATACTGTACTGCACTACAATGTAATGTCAATCAAAGATTAATATGTCCAATTCTGTTTAAGAATGAATACGAATTGTCCTGTCTGACTGAGTTAGCAGTACTTGTTTAGTGAGATCAACTCACATTACATATAAGACCAACCTTAATATGAGTGAGTGACTCTCTAGTCTTATATAGTATACAAGCTTGTTATTCCTTAGTTTTGCCTAAACATTTGCATAATCGTTTTGTCTACGTTGTTCAAAGGGGCATAATTTGATTATCTAACTTTGTAAGAAACTTACATTATGCAAATTTTGCAACATACACTCAGCCGCAAGAGAAAATTGTATATAAAGGGTGACTTTGGAGGGTGGATGGTGGGGAATGTTTCTAAACCATTGAATAGTTGTGCTTATTGAAATACAACTATAACTGCACCAAACTGCACTATGCTGCAATAACTGCACCAAACTGCACTATGCTGCAATACAGAGCAACATATTGTAGTTCCTAGCAAATCATCCAATCAAAATAAACTTAGTCAATTTGTTGTAATTTAATTAAAAATATCATTAAAAAACTTTATACATTTAGTGTTTTGAAAAAAAAGTTAAAAAAAAAAAAAAAAAAAACTGGATGAACTTTTTTATTCACATTTACTAATAAAAGACTGTTCTCTTCCACATAAATCTCAATTAACAATCCAATAATTATGTCAGAGGACTTTTTCGACAAAGTTATGCATTGATAATTTTTATCGAAGGAGTAGTTTGGGTATGCGCAAAACATCCTGAAGAAATGATCAATCCTCTTTGACTGATGTGTTTTTTTTTTAATTTGTGAGAGAATTAATATATCTTATCTGAATAAGAATTTAACTACACTTTCTTGCAGTGCAAACTTTAAATTTTTCTTATTTCGTGTTTTGAAACATAAGTTGTTGGATTTTATTTAATTCATATTCAATTAATTAAAATCTAGAAAGATTTCATTTCAATCAAATTTTCTTAATATACAGTTGTTCTCTTTCATATGAATCTGAATTAACAATGCAGTAATTATGACAAAAGACTTGTTGACAGAGTTACATATTGATCTTTTTTCTGTTTGGAATCAAACGACCAGTTAGCGTTTGCGAAAAATATACTGCACTCTTCTGCAAAACAGTGCTACACATTGTGGTACCTGGCAAGTTATCCAACCAAAATAATCTTAGTTGTTTTTTTGTAATGAATTAGAAATATGATATAATTTTTTAAAGTAATGTTTTGAAAAAAAAGTTTTTCTTTTAAAAAAAGCAGACAATGAAAATATTTATTTCACATTTAATTAATATGAGTCTTTGACCATAGTTATGGTTAAAGACTAATATATAAAACCATAACGATACAATTCTGCAGCTACCTTTACTAAACCTTTTGACTTCAAAATCAATAGGCGTGTTCTTTAGGCCATAGGGAGTTGTCATTTCAAAAGCTGCTCGATATATCACTGTGGATATGAAAGTGTTGCAGACAAACAGAAATACAGCCGAACGGAGGGACGGGCAGACGGACAAGGGGGGAGAGAAGGAGTTATGGTATAAAATTTCATTGCGAAAACTCAAAAGCTTCTAAAGATATCGCCCGGAAATGAAAGTTTTACAATCAAACAAAATGTATGAATTTACGGCCTTGATCTTTTGAACTCAAATTTAGAGGGGTCTTCTTTAAGCCATAAAGAGTTGTATAGAATATCATTGCAAAAGCTCATATGTTTATCGAGATATCGTTGGGGAAACGAAACTGTTAAAACAGACATAATTTTTTTTAATGTATGATCTTGACCTTTGACCAAATAGGGATCTTTTGTAGGCCATAGGGACTTATTGTGGAAAATTTCATCGCAAAAGTTTACAGGCTTCTCGAGATATCATGTGGAAACTAAAGTGTTACGTACAGATAGAACAACAGACGGACGGATGGACAGACAGACCGGAATCAATACCCCCTACTTTCAGCGGGAGTCAAAACTCCACGGGCCACAAAGCTCACCTGAGTCACTTTGGCCTTGCTGTTTTACATCAAAATTTTCCCCTTGGAAAACTGATATTCTATAGTTGCCCCACTCACTCGAGGGGACATAACTCGATCAACTGATCAATATAAAATCTAAACTACCTTACGAATTTTTCATATCCTTTCATCTTTACTAGTCCAGCTCTTCTTGAGAAGTATATACGAGGGGTTATCAAAAAGTTCGTGGACTGAGGCTATAAAATTAGTACTATGTAGTCGGTGCTTTCAAAATTTATAAGGAACATAAAACAACAAAAAATGAAGAAATGTTGAAAATTTTAGCTTGATACGTTCATTAGGTGCCAAATCATTGTTAAATAAAAACGACAACGTCATTATTTTTCAATGTCCGCTTCTTCTACCTCATACCCTTATTTTGATGAGATTCCCTGGAGCTAAATACGGACTTAAGGTTTCAATGCGTATAATACTGAAAATATATTTATACATTGGGAGAGATCCTCGCTTGATTGTGCCAACATATTTTGCTTATTGGAGTTTAATTTCTACAACATATGATCAACGTCATTTATTGACGCGATTGATTTTTTCACACCTTGACTACAAATCGGCATTACTTGTGCATCCCTTTTGTCTCTAATACTCTTTTGGCATTAAAAAACAAGTACTCTGGATGCATTTTATTGCTCCGTAGCCAGTTAAAACATTTCCTAGGTCTAAACCAGTTTTTTCAGGGGCAAAACTTAACCCAACACATACCTGAATTAACGGGATTTTTGGATGTCAAATGTTCATAACTTAAGAGTTTTTCTGTTACACTTAGGCCGAAAAAACGTCGTGTTCGAGGTTGCGCCGCCTGGACATATATATACCACTGCTTACAAACACATTACTAATTTATTACAAAATAAATTTTATGATTTGTGGTTTATTCTATAGATAGAAAATATGATGCTTACTAGATATTTTAAAATTCATTGATGTACCTAAAGCTGTTTTTATTTTATGGCGCTAGTCCACGAACTTTTTGATACCCCCTCGTATTTAAATGTTTTCCTTACAGTGTTCAACTTTGATTCTCTATCGTGGTCCCACCTGGGTACATGATTTGGACAAATTAAAATCTACGCTACCACAGGATGCTTGCACATTAGTTTCAGATTTTCTGGCACATTGACTTTTGAGAAGAATAATTTTAAATGTTACATACATATGTATATATTTAATGTATAGATTTGATTCTCTTTTGTGACCTCTACCTACATCCAGGGGTCATGATTCTAACAATTTAGATTATACACTACCTCTGGAAACTTTTATACAAGCTTCACCTGTTCTTGGGATTTTTTAAAGAACCAACCCTATTCTTATTTTTTTGTTATTTTGGAAGGCCTTTAAGAATTGAAACTCCCATTAATCCAAAGACGTTTTATACTAGCTTTGATGAAAATTGACCTAGTGGTTCTTGACAAGAAGTTGAAAATGTGAAAAGTTTACAGATAGACAGTTAGATGATGGGTGATCTGAAAAGCTCACATGACGTTTCAGCTCAAGTGAATTAAATTACCTCATAAGAAACATAAATGTATTAACATTAACGTAGAAAGTCAAAACACTATTAACAAAGGTCAAAAAGTATATTTTAATATATATACCAGTCAAAACATGTTCAGGTAGCATTCCACAAAAAAAATTGACAAGAGGCCCTTGGGCCACATCGCTCACCTGAGTAACACTGGTGATGCCGTTCTTTACCAGATTTCCCCTGTAATACCTGTTGTGGCCCTGCCCTACCCCCAACCCTGGATCATGATTTAAACAATTTGGAATCTACACTAACCCAGGATGTTTCTACATAAGTTTCAGCTTTTTCTGGCCCAGTGGTTCTTCAGAAGATTTTAAAAGATTTTTCCTTTATATTTCAATGTAAAATTTGGATTCCCTATTATGGCCCCGCCATACCCCTAGGGTCATGATTGTAACAATTTAGAATCTACACTAGCTCAGGATGCTTCCACATAAGTTTCAGCTTTTCTGGTCCAGTGGTTCTTGAGAAGAAGATTTTTTCATGACCCCAACTTTTTTGTCTTTTCTTGATTATCTCCCCTTGTAAGGGGACTGGCTCTTCATTTTAACAATTTAAACTCCCCATCACCTAACGATGCTTTGTACCAAGTTCAGTGAAAATTACCCGGTGGTTCTTGAGAAAAAGTTGAAAATGTGAAAAGTTTACAGACAGACAGACGGCAGACAATGGGCGATCAGAAAAGCTCACTTGAGCTAAAAATCTAATTAATTTTTCCCCCCTTTTTTCCCTTTTGCCACTAGATGCCATGTACCGAAATTGATTGAATTGCTTTTGCATTTTCAGACAAGAGGCTGAAAAGGTTTGTATGTTAAAGCATGATGCACAATGCACAACAACAAAAAAGGATAGCAACAGGTCACCCACGTTACTCTGATGACTTAATAAATAAAAAGCATTTTATGACTAGTATGCAGAACTTGACCAATATAATAAATTAGTGATAAAACAAAAATATGGCCACAAAGAAGGAAACAAGAAGTCCATGGGCTACAACAAACATCCAAGTTATATTGTTCCAGCAGAAAAATTACCCAAGCACTATATGAAGGTGTATCTCAAAATTTGAAAACAATGGCAAATGTTCCAATAAATAAATACTTTTTCACTAAACAAAGCACAATTTGCTGTCAGTTTCAGTGGTGGCACTTATGTATCACGTTTAAGGTTTCTCAGCAGCTTCACGATGGCTTGTAAAACTTGGGGGAGTTTTATTGCTGCATCACTAACAGACATTCAATTCAGCTCCATGATAAGTTTTCATAAATGACTGAACTTCAGATAATATTATTTCAAATAAAGTTTCCCAGTTTGAATTATCCGTCTTTTTAATGTGTCTGAAAAAGAGAGAAGATGTTGATATGATACAGAAACATAGGGTACTCTGTAAACATCCTTCTTTTTGGTACCCTCTTCTTCTGTGTCTAACAGAATAATTACTCGATAATAACATAAAACTACTCAAATTATTGATATCCATTAAAACAAAGAACAGAGAGTATTGAATGAAATATGATGTGAACTGAAGTTTGTGAATTACCTTGTTAGAAATTTGATTACAAGATCAACTTGTTCCAGGTTTTTATCTAAGATTAAATCCTGAAGGTAGGCAATCACGACCTGTTTGTCTTTTTCTTCAGGTTCTGAAATAAAATATTCAACTTTTTTATAGTTATTCAGGATTGTTTTACCATAGACTTGAACTCTTAATGATGATTTTTTCTACAATCTGATGATTTTTTCTACAATCTGATGGTTTTTTCCACAATCCCTCCATCATGCAGGAAATCTGAAAACAAGTTACTCTATCATGCTAATTCATAAATGGAATTTTTCTTGTCTGTCAAATATTTTTTTCTGTATGGATTACTTCTCATCTACCTTTTGCTGATGTTTGAAAATAAAAAAAAAACAAGAGGCCCATGGGCCACATCGCTCATCTGAGCACTGTGGCTAGGAAAAAGTAGAAATTGGTTTATTTATTGAAAAGTTTAAATCCTAAAGTAGTCCCATGACCAATCATGGTTTTGCTATTCTTGTTGAGAAGATGATTTTTAAATAATTTTCCTATGTCTATGTAAAACTTTGGTCGGCCATTGTGGCCCTGCCCCTACCCCCCCCCCCCCCCCCCCCCCCCCCCCCCCCCCCCCCCCCCGCGGCCTTGATTTGAACAAACTTGAATCTACACTACCTGACGATGCTTCCATATAAATATGATCAATTATGGCTTTGCTATTCTTGAGAAGAAGATTTTTAAAGAATTTTCCTATGTCTATGTAAAACTTTGGTCGGCCATTGTGGCCCCGCTCCTAACCCCCCCCCCGGCCTTCATTTGAACAAACTTGAATCTACACTACCTGACGATGCTTCCATATAAATATGATCAATTATGGCTTTGCTATTCATGAGAAGAAGATTTTTAAAGAATTTTCCTACATATTTCTATGTTAAACTTTGGTCGGCCATTGTGGCCCCACCCTACCCCCGGGGTCATGATTTGAACAAACTTGAATCTACACTACCTGACGATGCTTCCATACAAATATGATCAATTATAGCTTTGCTATTCTTGAGAAGAAGATTTTTAAAGAATTTTCCTATATATTTCTATGTTAAACTTTGGTTGGCCATTGTGGCCCCACCCTACCCCTGGGGGTCATCATTTGAACAAATTTGAATCTACACTACATGACAATGCTTCCATATAAATATGATCAATTATGGCTTTGCTATTCTTGAGAAGAAGATTTTTAAAGAATTTTCCTATATATTTCTATGTAAAACTTTGGTCGGCCATTGTGGCCCCGCCCTACCCCCGGGGGTCATGATTTGAACAAACTTGAATTTAAACTACCTGAGGATGCTTCCCTATAAGTTTCATCTTTCCTGGCACAGTGGTTCTTTAGAAGAAGATTTTTAAAACATACCATTAAATTTTCATTAATTCCAAATTATCTCCCCTTGAATGAGGGCGTGGCCCTTCATTTGAACAAACTTGAATCCCCTTCACCCAAGGATACTTTGTGGCAAGTTTGGTTGAAATTGGCCTAGCGGTTCTTGAGAAGAAGTCGAAAATGTGAAAAGTTTACAGACGGACAGACAGACAGACAGACAGACAGACAGACGACGGACAAAATGTGATCAGAAAAGCTCACTTGAGCCTTCGGCTCAGGTGAGCTAAAAATGTCAGGGAGGAGAAAAAATTAGACTTACAACTTACATGTAGAAAGCAGTATACATACAATAAATGTATTCTGATTGGCAGAAATTAATTTTTGAAGAGGTTAGCACAGATTTTATTTCGAGCATTTCTTTTTGTTGTTATTGATGTAAACTGTATATATATACAAGACATTCAGCTTTGTACTTGATTTAGAGGAAGTTTCTTTCCACAAAATGCACTAGAAAGAACACATAGCCAAGTGTAATAATATACTGACACGCAAAAGAAACGCAACACCCTTCTTTAGGGGGAAATAATTATGTAAAGTAAAAAATTTTGTATCTTAAAATAATGAAAATCTTCAATTTGGTAAACATCGGTAATTTAACGGTTGAATGATTTCCAAACCATAACCGGAAGTCAAGTTTTAGTCTGCTTAACAGAAATCAAAAATTGCATGTTTAACAGAACATTTGGCAATTGTATGGAGTTTAAGGGTTTTTTAATGTTCATCAGATATAATGCAGCAATATTTCAAAAAATAAACTCTCCTTTCGTTTCCCGTAACGATGCTAAGGCTACTTGAAAATGACTTATGTACGCATTTCCATTGCTCTGGCTGGAAAATTTCAATGTAAAGGTGATGGAGAATTGCTGATGCGAAATTTCACTACATTACGCCTCAACAGGGTCTTGCGTATCATATGCAGTAAGGACAGTCCTTGTACCGGAAGTCCAAGGTGGCTACACTGCTCTAAGTTAGAGAAAATTCGACCTAATCATCTGAATAACGGGCATTTAAAAATGCCAAAGAATAATTCCTTCGCTCAGATCTCGATATTAATGAACATATTGTATCGTAGAAATTAAGCTGCAATTGTTGTTTAGGGTAGTCTTGCACGTTTTACTTGAATGGCTTGGAGGGGGTGTTTTAACAGTCACATTTTACTTAGAAAAGTAAACAGATAAACATTTAACATTTTTATCAAATCTCTGATGTTCTGAAAAGTGAGTTTAGCCTTACTTTATTCGCTTTTGATAATCATCAGATAAAAAAACAAACATTTGTAGATTACTAATTGTTGCGTTTCTTTTGCGTGTCAGTATACTAAGGGTGAAACGTTTACTGAATTTTGTAAACGTTTAAATGGATAGCAGTAAACGAAACGGTACCGTTTAAACGGGAGAAATTTTATGTTGGATTTTTATGGCTACTTACTCATGAAACTCGAATTTAATAATCAATTCTTTCACTTTAATATAAGTATGAGTTGTTATTACAATTTCATTGTTGGTCATTATGACGAAATAATTTGAGGCGCATTAAACTCATTTACTTTCTACATCGTCACCCAATATTGTATTGGTTTGTTTGGCTACACACCGGACGTAGAAAAAGAATTGTAAGGATGGATCTTTTAATCTCGAAAAAAGTAAAACAATACCTGCTGACTGTATCAAAACACCTTTCAAAGACTTGTGAAAAATGTATTATATTTATTTAATCAAAATATATCAAGTTTCATATTTCAAGTGTCATAAAACATCGCTAGTATTCATGGTATTAGGAAATCGGAATTAAATATGTTAGACCGTATCAGGTTTTAGATATTTTTATTCAATATATTTCCGGTATAGATTGTTGCTTATCAAATGGTCAAAGACGGTGTTTCTTTTGCAAATTATGAAATAAAACAATTTGTTTGTGTTTAACTTTATATTTGATAGACATTGATAATGACCTTCGTGTAAACGTTTACTCAATCTGTAAATGTTTAGAGGATATAATCGAAACGTCGCTGTTTACACGTGTAATCGTTTCGCCCTTACAGTATACATGTATGTTCACAGTGACTATTTTTGTTCCATGTTATTTATTGGCCTATTACACTTACAATTTTGCCCCATTTTGAGTTTGCCCAGACACTTCATTATTAAAGAGGTAAGTCTTGTCTTCTTTGAATTCTTCCCATTTTGAATTTGGGAAGGGGCAAAAACAAAACTGGGACAAGAAAATTTCCCCATATAAAGTATCTACTATTTATTAATGTAGCTGAAGTTTATGAATCAAAAATTCCTATTGACTTTCACTGACTCCTATTTTTCATTCTTACCCTGCTACACACTCCACCTCCCTACCTGGAGAACTTTGGATCCACTCCTTTAGCAGTGATCTAACTTCTGCAATAGTTACTGCACCACAGAGATTGACTGGTGTGTCTTCTGATTCAAATGACTCGACCTCCATTGGCTGGTCTCTTACACTTTTGTTTATTTTCTCATCCTCTCCTTTTCTTAGCGAGCTTTGATCATTTGACAAGAGGTCTTCCGTAAATACTGCCTGTGATTAAATGTAAAAGAAATCCTAATTTTACATGGTTACTTAGAGTCAGGGCTTCAATTAATGTGAATATGAACTTGCTAGTTGATTGTAAATCAAGATTCTTTACACATGTTTCAGCACTATGTGTCTTGTAAAGTTACTAGATATTATAAATAAATTCCTCACATAAATTTGAGATACTTCAGTAGCATGTATCACTTTTATATTATTAATAATCCATTTTCCTCATGGAAAATAAGGAAATGCATTAAGTTCAGATTTCTACAGTTTGACCAGATAAATTCATATGATCTGTTTCATATTATTCATATAACCTGTTTCCCAGTTACAGCTGTCATGATTGAGGGCTGCCCTCTCTGACGGAAGTCCAGTTTTTTGGGGCGCCCTCTCCCCGGCCGACCCCTGGGAACTTTGAACTGTGGACTGTGTTTCCCTGGTGATCTCCCCTTCAATTGTGGGCTGGTTTTACGAGGTGACTTCCCCTTTGGGGAGGCCTTTCTAGGGGATTTCAGTACATTGGACAAACACTGTAGATTCTGCTTCTGTTGCTGCTGATGTTGGTATGCATCTTGGATTTCTTTCTGCATGTCTTCTGGGAGTGCATTCAGACAGCTTTCATCAAGCTATGAAAAGATATTTTTCTATCAGGAAATATAAAACACATCCATGTGACAAAATAATTTTATTTGGACTGTCTATTTCAGATTCTGTGATCCTTACAGGTTATGAATACATTTGAGCCTCTTAACCCTATCAAAATAAGGAATCCTAAATTGCTGCATACACCTCAAACTTTTTTAAAAATCTTTATCCTAGTTCTTTACCTACATATAACACTTATTCAATAGGTTTATATTTTCAAAAAAAGTACATAAACGTGTACTTAAAACAACTCAGTTGGAAAGATGGAGCACAAACCTGAGACAGGTCTGGCAGAGGTACTATGGATGAGGTACCCTGTGTAACGGGAGCTGGGCCTGAGGTCCAGTGAGAACAGCCTGGCTCCTCACTGTAGCTGGACACGTTCTGTTTGGCCTGGCGAGGCCCTCGTCTCACCATCTGTATCTCAGTCTCAACCTGAGCTCGTATGTCTGGTGGCAGCTCCCTTAAAACGTCCTGATCAATCTGAAAATCACAGATCTGAATTACTTTAAACAATATTTAGGCAGATTTATGTATACATGTAAATTGTGAAAAAGATAAATTGTAAGAATACACACTCCATGACTAATTTCTAGTCAATACAGTGTATATTGCCTAATTTGCCATATACAATAAGTATATAATATTACATTTGTAAACTAAAGAGAATGGAAATCTCTTCACATAAGAATGAATTTCTTGTAAATGTGTTCATTATACCCCCCGCTTGAAAAGTGGGAGGGTATATAGTAATCGTTATGTCCTTCCGTCTGTCTGTACGTCTGTCGGTCCGTCCGTCCAGCTGTCCTTCCATCCGTATATTACACTTTGGGATACCCATCTCTTATCCGCAACTGCTCTTATACCACTGAATGAAATTTGATGAAACTTTCACAGAATCTTTATTACATATTGCCATTGTGCACCTCCTATTTTACTTTTTGATCTGACACATATTTTGGGTTTCCCACAACAAAACATGGACACTCCCATTATATTCATATGGGAGGCGGGGGGTATCATTTAGTGAGCTCATTGCTCACAGTACCTCTAGTTGTAACTATTTCACTGTAATGTCTTTTATCATAAATCCATGGTGCATAACAAGTTCTTGTAAACTGTTTGTAAAATGCATCTGCATTATAGTTTTATAGTTTCTCTTTGCATCTGAATTTGAACATCTTTAAATTTCGATGATTTCATGAATTACACACGAGTATTCTAGAGTAATTACTACCTGTGAGGGGGATGGGAAGTAGTCCCCAGTAGAACCATTAGTATGAGCCCCTGAGCTGCTCTCTTGTGTAGAGGTACTGGGTCTGTTCAGCAGGTGTCTGTACTCAGGTGTGGACGGAATGTCTAGGGTGGGTAAGGGGGGAAGAAACCGGTTGGCCGTTTTCCTCCTTGTAAAAATAAATCAAAAAGTTGCCAACATATGTTTTTCTACATAAACATACTGTCAGAAAAAAAAATTATTTACATTAAGATAGGGATTTCTTTAAAATAGAGGACCACAGGAAATAGAAAAAAATATCAACAAAGAATTGTTCTAAATTCAAAGCTATTTAAAATATAACATCTTGACCAGAACAGCATTTAGTAACATACCTTGACAATTCTGAGAGTAAGTCTTGACAAACAGCCCCTTCTAGAAACTGCCCCTCTCCATCACAGCTTCCCTCTTCTGTGTTCTGATTGGTGGAGAAGGCATTCTCTATGTGTCTGTAGAGTTCTGAGGCTCCGTCTGGACTGGCTTTATCTGGACTCACTTCTCTATCCAGACTCAGCAATGTGTCCGTCCAGTGTCGCTCCTCCCCATCTGTCTGGATATCTGCAGATTTATTGTTAGGACTTACAGTGTCATCTGGACCTCTCTGCTTTCCAGGGAGTGTAGATTTCACAACCTGATCATGACTTTTGGTTTCCATGCCATTTTGCTTGTGAGGACTTGTTTTTGTAGCAGACACTTCTGAAAATGTAATTGAATCATTTTATCATTTAATAATTTGACACATATGGACAATTAATTTATTTAACTTCATGTCTCTTATTTCATTCCATGATGAGTATTTACATGAAGGTTAAAAACAGTTGAACTATTGATATCTCTAACCATGATATCTAAAATAACATGGATATGTCAAAATGAGCTTGTCCCAACTATTTTTTCTTTTTTTTTATCTAACATTGATCAATCTGATTCTTCAGAAATTTTTCTTTTTTTATCTAACCTTGATCAATCTGATTCGTCTGAAATCTTTTTTTTACCCATTTCAGTTAGTTCAAGATTCATGTAACAAAGTTTGATAGTACTTTCTTACAAAAACATGCTCTCAGAAAATATGCTTTAAATTTTTTTTTGACATCCAATCGAAAATGGCATTAATCTATGAAGTTGACCTACTTGTAGTGAAATTGAGAATGCTCTGCAATTTCCTTTGATTGTTTCCACCAACAACTGCCAATTCTAACTTCTGTACCTGGATCCCAACTCCCCTCAAGTCTGCACAGTTCAGTCGCAGTCCATGTAAGATAGTCATACACTCCTGGTGGATCAAACCAGCATCATCTGTTGCCATGGGCAACATAGTGGATTTTGAGATGTTGTTACAAATTCCATGACCTTGTAATTCAGAAACATTTACTCATAAGATTGGATAGAAGAAGATAGTTTGAAAAAACACTATAGCCTCAGCTATGAAAATTTCTATTTGAATTTGTAGTCAAAGCCTTGAAATGACCAAATGCACAGAGAAGTTCACAAGTATATATCATTAATTTGTAACTTATATTGGACTCAGAGACATAGATTAAAATAATATACTTGGGATCTTCTATCTTAGAATAAAAAAAATCTATGGCAGAAAAACACACTTTCGAAATTGAATCATACATAGACTCCATTTTTATGAGAATTTCTCTTTATTTGCTACCATCAGCTTGACAAATAACAGCATCCATAATTATTGAGCACTAAAACCATGTTGAAAAATATTTCACATACCCATGAACTTGGCAGTTTCTTGTGGAGCATCTTCTCTTCTGACCATCAATTTCAAAGTCACAGATTTTCCCTTCATTCCGATTTCATGCAGACGATTGTGAACTTCCTGTGACAAATCCAATATAAACTTGTCTGCTTCTGTATTCTTAAACAAGAATGAAATCATCGTTATTTCAAAACACATTTCAAAATCTAACGAGTGCATGAGCATGTAAATTTTTCAATTTCATATTTTTACATAGATTTTTGTCTTTGGCGTTATACATAATTTGCCTTCCTCCCTTTCCCAACCTAAGAACAAGAAACCCACAGGCCTCAGTATTCATCTTAACACTTTTTTCCTGCTGTCATTCATCATATTCTAATATTTTTCTTAATTACCAAGAAAAATGTGGTCCCACCTTAGCACCACGTCAAGGACTTAACTTTGAATTTAAACAACATGGGGATGCATGAAATCATTTAGCCTCATCCTAACCCGAGACTCCATAACTTGGAAAACTCACAGCACTTAAGAATATTTCAAACTCTTTGTGATTTGGTGTGCTTTTTGAAATGAAATTTTAGTCAAATGTTTACAGACAACATGACAGTTAGACAGTCTGAATGAGTTGCTTACAGATTTGAACCTGATCCCATAATTGACTTCCGCTGATACAGACTTCCTTTCCTGGTTGGTTTTGATCTGTCGTTCGTCCTGCCCCCTACATCCTCTATACAGAGATAACCCTGTCTTAGGCCCAAACTCCCTCTGTAGGGTAGACTGAGGCACCCCCTGTAGCTGACCACAGGTGCTGACCCCCATAGACTTCAGCTTCCTACTCATTGACCAGCCTACTCCTTATCAAAGTGAACAAAATTTATAAATATTAAGTACGCTCTTTTAAAAATACATAAATATATGTATGCTCTTTTTCAAAATACATGTACATGAAACTAATTACTTGGATATAATTTTTTTATTATTTGACATTAAATTGATTCATTTAAGTTTTGGTAAAGAATTAAAATATTTAAAGAAATATGGTCAACCTGGAATATTTTGAACTGATTGTTCTTTCATGAAGTCAATAATGTCTGCCTCCTTCAAGTAAAACTGTCCATTTGGTTTGGCCTTTTTTGTAGCCATTTTGGCAAGTAATATATTTCCTCCTGAAATTAAGAAAACAATTGTTGAGAACATACTCCTGGCTAACTTTAAAACATTATTATATAAAATATTTCCTACCCATTCCAGCTGAGGCAGTGCAGCCTGTCTTCAGATGTATTTGATTCCTCAGCAAAGAAGCAAACTGTTCAGGTTCAGCGCCCGTGGTTGCCAGGAGATCTGTGCAATCAACCAACATTTCATCACAGCTCACTGCCTCAATGTCATGTGTGTAACTGAAAAAAAAAAACATACCGATTTACTCTCGGTAAAAAGTGTCTTACTTCCTATTATCATTTACAAGTAAGATTTCAAGAAAATTTTAATGGTACTCACCTTAATACAGTATCATAGAGTATTTTGGAAACTTCTTGGTAGCCTTCAAAATCATAAGGAATTGTCTGCAAATCTGGGCATAGTTTTTTGGCTGGGCCCATAAACATTCCATTTCTAACACCAGCCTGAAATTTGCCATATACATGTAATAATCCAGATATTTATACGAGATTGTGATTAGGTTCTTTAAAATAAAACTGTGATGGGAATTAAGAGACTCCTCTTTTGCTGATCAAACAGAAATCACGATGACAATTTACAAATGCTGCATTCTATACTGAATATTTGTAATATGGTAATTCTTTTGGTTTATATTTTGAACAGAAAATTTACTCACTTGTCTTGCCTCATAACTACAGGAAGCTAATTCAGACATAGAAGAAAATGCATCCAGATTTCCCTTTTTTCCAAATTCCTCAGTGCTGTTGTTCATCTTAGACTGCTGGTCTGGATTTGTGGATATACTTTTATCTTTTTTACTTCTCCACATTTTTTGTTCATATTCAATGTCTGACCCAGGAATAGGTCCTCTTCTACCCTGGCCTTTAGAATGTGTAACAGCAACTGGCTTGCCTGAAAGACAAGGCATTTTGTTAGTTCACGAAAAAAAGTACTAAAAATATGATATATTATTCAACCTAGTCAAAAAGTCCTAGTTCTTATAAAATCTCACCAATAAGATCTGGCCTTTTCCGCAGACCAACAGACACAAAGAAACAATCCATGTCAACGTGCATTATGACACGTTTAGGTTTCCCTGATGTCGTACTTCTGACGCCCTCTAAAGCCATGTCCCGCGCCTCTAAGCCAGCCTCCTGGTCACTCACAACCTTCATCAGAGCCTCTCTGCCTGAATAACTTGTCTGCTCTTTGGACATTTTGCTGACATACTCTCTCCACTCTGATTTCCATGTGGAGAGATGGTGGAGCCTTGAATTGTTGTAGAATTCATTCAGATAATGTGGATCACCTGCTCTTCCATGAGGCTTGCTGTTAGGTGAAGGACTTTTTATTTGGTTAGAAATTGAATGATTTGGACTTTTTATGGCTCCACCCTTACTTGCAACATTTGAAGTGCCAACACTTACCATCTCATTTTCATTAAATATGCCTGAAGTGGAAGCCTCATTTTCATTTGCACTAACATTTGTCAGAGAATCATCCAGGACAGCCTGCTTTGGATCAGCTTCCACTGTATATCTTCCAAACTCATTGTCTGAATCACTGTCTTCTGACCCACTCTCCACTTCCTTCACAAGCTTTTCCACCTTACTCTGTATCTCCACATCCTGCTCTTCCTCATCATCTTTCTCCACTAAATTTCCACATCTGCTGCTCTCACCTACCAGATTTCTGCTCAAGGCATTTTTGGTACATATGCCTGCTATGGTGGAGTTGCAGATTTTTGTTGATGACTCTGTAGCGTAGGAGGACATGCCTTGTTGGATTTTGGTCTGACCCGTGTACAGCTGATAGGGAATGTATGACAGAAGCCTCCCAGCAGCCACACTGAAATGACAAACACATACTGAGGTCATATCATCATGGCTCATTTTTTCATCTGGTTGCAGCTATTATTTGTACAAATAAACAACTTAAATTGCAGCCTTCTTTCTTACATGTGTTTCTATGGGATTATAAATGCAAGGTCATCTGAGACAGTGGGAAGATATGTTGTAACTGTAAATTCTCTCATTTAATATTTTGTAGAAATAAAACCAAGCAATTTCTGATTGATCACACACTGACCTTTCTGTTATCCATTCAGGCTTGATCACTCTGCAGTGTTTCAGTCCCTTTGTAATCTTACTATTGGGGAGACTGGTTGCTATGATATGGGTAACCCTTCTCTTGGCTAGATAGTGTTCATAATGACCACCATTTTGGTACATAATCCGTTTTAATTCATCAGAAGATGGCTCTATAAAGAATGTAAATACCTGGTTAATATATAATGGCTAAAATATAAAGCAACTGAATTTAAAGTTAACAATGTTTTTCAGACAGACTCTATTGCAAGTTTATATGATACAGATAAAACCCATTTGCTGCCTGATTTAATGATTCAGAATTCGTTCCATTCCTTTGATATTTAAAGTGTCAGTCATAATATAAGAGAGTTTAAATTTCTGTTTGCTTAATGGATTATGTAAATATACATATTGAAAATAAGTTCTGTCAATTCTGACTTCTTGCTTAGTAGTTATATGTCTGTCTCTGGAAAGGGGGGTGGAAGTAGTATGCATTGAAGCAAAATTAACTTAATTGAAATAATAGAAAAATATACACACTGTATGTATCACTCTTTACTATCTAACAAGTGGGAAAAACTTCGATCCTTCACACAGACTTACTTGTGTATCCGTCCACATGGATGACAACCCCGTGGAAGATGTTGGACTTCACTGCCCCCATTCCTGTTCCCCCTCCCAGAAACTGCTCTGTCAACTTCTGTTTCTTCGCTGCCATATAACCTCCCTATAACAAATATAACATCATATCATTTAGCACCTCCTTATCACAAATACATGTGTAACTATATAACAAATCAATCATTTAATTAAGGCCAACTTAATGGTAACTATTTACAGAGTATCATTTAGGGCTGCATGGGTATTGGCCAGAGATTTCGTATTGCTATATATTGCGATATTTTTAACTGTATTCTGATATGTATTGCAATATATTAAATGAAAATAAAATGGCATTTTCATCTTAAATTAACTTTAATTTATATGCAAATTGTACATAACTATGATAAGTAACCTAAAGAAAAAAAATCTTGTTGATTTCTGTAAAGTTGTGCTCTGAAATACAACCATAAAATAGTTTGTGTCTTACTGTTTGGCTTCATAACAAGCCTTTCTAACATTTATTTTTATGTTTAATGTTAAATTTCCTTAGTCTAAGAATTTTGCCGATATATTGATATTATAAAAACGTATTGCAATACGATATTTTTTGTCACTGTATTGCAATATATTGAAATATCGATATTTTTGCCCAGCCCTAGTATCATTACAGGTCAACTCAATTTCTTTACTTCACTCTTATCATATCTACTAAGATCATGCGTGGTTTTATCATTCTAAGACCAATACAAAACACTTTTATAGGTATAACCTCATCCCATCAACAGGGTCCATAATTTGAACTTAAATCTGCATTATCTGAGGACCAGCATATTATTAACCATGGCCCTGTTGTTTTCAAAAAAAAAAAACCAGATTTATACAGATTTTTTTTTATTTTTCGGGGTGTTTGGACGCACATGCACATGCTTTACTTTAAGTTTCTTTTTAGTCTTACTTTCTTACTTCTGGTGACATTTCTCGACTTTGTCTAGATTGCTTATGTTACAGCTGGATGAAGCAGCTGCGTATTATGGGTCCAGCTTTCATGGGAAAGTGTCAACTACTTCGTTGGGATTATGCCTAATTTTGTGCTCTCCAATTCATCAGTTAAATGCCAGTTTTCATTATCTGACATATTGATAAAGATAGAATATTTAATCTTTATTAATAAACTACATGTTTACAGCCTGTCTGACGACCAACACTTACTCTTTCTTCCCAACCATCTCCCTGCCTGTTCTTTTTCTTTGTTGGATTTTTTGTCTTTGACTCTGCCATTCTAATTTTACCAGTTACTGAATGCGTCCGAGCTTATCTGTATTTCTCCGCAGTCTTCAAGATTTCAAAACACTGGATCAGCAAAAATATAGCATTTCACAGTTTTTTTTATCAGTGTTAAATCTTTATATTGTATACAAATATTACATTGTCAATCTGTTTGCTGCATTAAATGATCAAATTAGTATAATAATTGTTGCTCCACGTTTACTTTGGAACTTAAAAAGAACCGGATAAAATTTAAGGTTAAGCCCAAACAAAACAGCTAAAGGAAGAAACGAAAGTAGCTGACGTATTACTCAATGAATTGTGACAAAATCACCAGGGACTCAGGTATTATATACAGCTATGTTTTTTATTTTGTTTATAGAATTACCTTCAAATTTTACATCCATTGAATTCTTTAGCCCTGTAAAAGCATTTGAGCTTTGTGCCTTCGCGCCAACTTGTAATACTGAGAAAATTCGAAAAACGGATGTAAACAAATATATAAAATTCAACTTTATCCTTATCCGTAAATCCGGAAGAGTACATTGTCTGGAACTTATCTCGTGTCTTAATCATTATTCCACATTACAGGACCATAAGAAACAATTTCAAATTGTATAGGCACAACCAAACACTCTTAGCATGCTTAGAGCCACGCAATATTTTTTAAAAGTTGGTAATTCCAACTTTAAAGTTGGAATTACCAACTTTAATCTTGGCTATTTTTTATAAATATTTTTTTTATCTTTTGACCTTAGAGTTTGACCTTCTAAAAAAATTAACCTTGGTCATAACTTTTCAACAGTTAGTACTAGTACATACTTCACCGGTGTATTCCTTGTGACAAGACATTCCTTTGGATACCAACAATTTTGACCCTTTGACCTTGGAGCTTGACTTGCATCTGCCTTGAGAGAAACTTACTAACCTCGTCATATGCTGCCATACGAGACATCAGTGTTAAAAAAAAAACTTGTCTTTTTAAATGGGGTCTCGTCACCTTTTTCTTATTTTTGTATTCTAATATGACTATATATGCTCTCGATAAAGTAATCTTTTTGTCCCTGTAAGTTATTTTTTAAAAATATCGTTTTTGACTGATACATAAAAAGGAAGGGGGAGGGTCCATATCCAAAGTGCTGTGAAATTATAATTTTACATGTACTTTGTTTCCTTTTTTGACCAGAGCAGTTAACCACATGATTATTTTAGTTCATGTCGCAATAAGTTTGTTAAATCTCAAATAATTATACAGTGTGCAACAGAAAAAGAGACGATTCCTTTCTTAAAATAAATTGGACTGGAACATATTTTGAACGATTCGAAATAGGAGAGAGTCAGGGTTTCTTCTTAACGGTAGGTCTAAGGGCAGGGTTTAATGGTAGTGGATGGGTTGGAAGGGGGGTTAAATCACTTAAATCACTTCTTTTGATTAGTTATAAAAGGCCTGAAAATTAAGTAAAATTCATTCACTTAGCTTTCCATCAACCATAAATAGATTACATGTACAAGCATTTTGAGGCAATGAAATAAAACGACTTTATGGTCTTGGCTGGCATGCACCGACTTTGAAATCCACTACATGTATATATACAGGGTGACCAAGTGATGTATTTAGGTGCGAATGAGGTATTTTAATGTGTTTACATTTTTGTTGTAAATGCTATGGTCAGCCTGTATTACATGTATTCAAGTTAATGATAATGTTTTTGAAAACAAAAATATGAAGTCAACAGGAGAATACTACAACCACAAATACACAGCGTATTTCTTAAAAAGAATTTTAAGGAATATCCAGTCCAGAATCAGCTTTTTGCTGTAATCACACCGTCATGATTTGAGCCCTTCAAGTGGACTATGGACCCCTGATATTTTGAGGATGCAGTTTTGTAGGAAAACAATTTGAAATAGCTGCTATCTCATCATCATATCCAGTAGTAAACCAGCGAGTTTAACAGGGGGTGGAATACTGAAGTAAGCCCTTTATAACATTTACAAGTGACTGTTTCCCTTCCTGGATTATGTCAGGGATCGCTGAGCTGATCATCACACGACTTCCTGGAGTCAGTAAGTGGCAAAGGAAATGGTATTTTATCCGGAGTTTCTTCCTGAGTAAACCTACAACCTTAAATCGCTTAGGATAAAAACGAAGTATAATTATTTTCAACATAAAACCAGTAAGTCTGATTCTCACGGTATAATCTGCCATTTTCTTTATTAGATATTTTACACTATATTGTGGTATCGAATTCCGTATTCCTGTAAAGTAACCTTTAATATGATATGTATTTTAGTATATTTTTTAATGTCACTTTGGTGATTTTTGTTACATGTAATATTACCCAGGGTAACTTACGTGTCACAGAACAGGCGTTTGATATAATTTCACCATCTGACTGCCAAGTATCAAAAGGATCTGTTGACAAAGAAATTGTTTGCAACAATTGTGTAGACCATGGTCAACGAAATAGAAAGCAAAGATTACAAAGTTATAGCAAACAGATAATTTGCAACAGACATACAGGCAGACAGACGACGGGACGGTAAGCATTACCAATTTTATTTCATTTCTGTTTTAAAGAAATTACACAAATTGAAATATTACGTATGAATGACTTATACTTGAGTAATTGCAATGTTAAACGACGCTTATTACTACATTCGTTTTGCTGAAAAGAAAGAGTTCCCTGTTTGGTATTAACAGGATACTTTGTAATAATAACACCCCAGTAATATTTAGTATCTATTACACAAATGAACCCGGAAATTTTTTTGCTTTTGGTTGTAAGTAAAATATCGTTGTTTACTGTACAGATAAGGGAAAAAAATGGACGACACTGTTTCTGTTGACACGGCCGCTGATAGCGAGAACGAGGAACGACTGTCCCGGGAACTCATTAGGAATATATCAATGAAAAGGGAAGGTAAATCTACGTTTGTAACATTTAACGATTTCTTCACGAAGGATCCCCTGGATAACTCCATTCCTGTCTGTACGCTCCGAGAATCGGTCACCTCGGAACTAGCTCCAGACGAGAAGAGCGCGCTGGACGATTATAGAGCAGACGATACAGAGGGAGTGACATCAAACGACACAGAACAGGGAGATAGTGATGATGATGGCGAAAACACGCAGACCTGTGAATTAGATGGTGCAAAACCTACTCCTGCTTCTTGTGTTTCTGTGGAAGTAGGAAATTCAGAACAAGATGCTGCTGCTGCACCATGCAATGGTACAGAAATCGCTACAGACGACGGACCAGTTTCTCCAAAGATAAAGCAAATCCCAAATCAAAACGGTTTGACAGAGAACGAGCTACTTAAAAACACCAGCGTCACAGAAAAGTGTGGGGATATATTCATGAAAGAAGATAGGGATGTTGAAAGTGGACTTGAAAGTGTAAACTTGCTTCAAACAGCAGATAACGGACATATTTGGGCAAATTTCGGAAAAGAAATGTGTCAAATTGATCTAACAGGGAATGTTGTTTTTAGGCAGACCTTTGATGTTCCTGTCGATGATTTCGCTGTACTTGGTTCCAATTCCGTCTTTCTTATAGAGCCACAGATTAAGACCATTCGATTTCTGAAGATCGAAACAGGAGAACCAGTAATGACAAATTTTGACAACTTATCCCCAGATATCCCTAAAAATGTGTGTATCAATACAAAAACAAGAGAAATTGTAGTAAGCATTTTAATGAACAGAGGGTTCCTCTTTTTTAAACGTATTCGAACCTCTATCAGGAAATATTCTTATAGTGGCAAATGCATGGAAGAAATCATTCCTAAAAACAAAGGAACAGTTATATTTGATAGTACGCTAGATATGACCTGTAATGAAAACGGCGACATATGTATTGCAGCCGTGAAAGGTTCGTCTCACTTTGTTGCTGTATTTGACCAATCAGTCAACTTCCGATTTGCTTACGTTGGCGGAGAAGGAAGAGAAAACTCTTTCCGTCCCACTTCCGTTTGTGTAGATTGTGATAATAATATCTTATCCCTGGACTCAAATAGTAATGCTATCCATATCACTGACCTTAACGGAACTTTTCTGAGGTTAATAAGCCCATTCGGTGACAATTCAGTGTGTCCTAAATTAAAAGCTGTATGTATTTACAAGGACAACAGGTTACTGATTGGTCAGGACAACGGAAAGATTCGTGTGATGAAGTTCACAACTCGTTCAGAGACAACAAAACTCTGAACGATATCAATGCAACATAGTTGATTGAGTTTAAGTCAGCATCAGTTAACAATCTTCCTATGTAGATCAAAATATGAGAAAGAATGTTTTTTTATTCTTATATTGTTAAAGGTTTAAAATCTTTCACAATATTTAAAGAAATTTAAATTGAGAATATTTTTTAAATTACTTAATATATAAAAGTTGCTTTTGAATTGTTTTATTTGAACCGGAGACATTGCATCTCATAGGTATAACTTTTAACTTTTCGTCTGCATAATGAGTTTCATTTTTTATGTCTATGAATTTATTTATCTTGTTGATTTGTTCATTATTTTGCTTCAAATGTATTTTTTACAATTAAACGATAAAACTTTTTACTGCACAGAATTTTTCAAACATTACCATTCAATGATTATCAATTTCATTGTTTATTTAGAAGTTAAGTCAGCTAAAACTTTTTGCAAGATGAACATACTGTCCTTACAAAGAATAAATCATTGTTGAATGAAACATTTTAAAGGATAGATATTGTTAATCGTTGATGAATTGGTTGTCAATTGGTTAATTAATTGACTAAGGTGTGGAACCGTACGATATCGCAGATTTTGGCAATTATCAGTATTGCTTTCTCATTGCATATAAATTCCTTGTCATTTTTAAGGTTGAGGGAGGCGTAAAAAAGATGTTTTTAATTGCTAAGACCTCTACCGTAAGCATGCAAAGAATTCCTCATTGTCCTTCACAAATTTGATCACGTGCCCAACCAAGTTCATTTTCCAGTGCAGTTTTTAACAATGTTGTTTACTCTCCTCCTTGTTATCAAGCATTTAAAAAAGTGCAGGGTTAGGATGAGCAAGGTGCTATCTATGTAAATAGTGTTTATAACCCCTTAGCCAGGAGATCTGATGGTACCGAGGAATTCTGTGTTATTGAAACTGCATTCTTTTAAAATCTTGTTTGTCACTGAGTATTAAGGACATACGCAAGGTACCTTACCTGCTGATAACTTTTCCAGATATTCTAAATAAAAACTTATAATACCATTACATATTCTTAGACAAAAAATCAGCGTGTGTTACCAGGTGTTTTGAAAAGATATTAAATTTTGAAAATTTTTGCATTATTCAAAGAAAAATGTACAAAAATCACAAAACATAAATTCCAGATTTTTTTTCATCAAAATTTGTTAAAGAAGTGTAAAATCCATATATATACATTAATAAAAGTATTGCACGGGGGTCCTTTATTTAGTGGAACTCTTCAACTCCAGGGAAGAACCCAATAAAGTTCAAACTACGTTGCGTATGACCTTAAATAAAAGGATTTCTTATATTATAAGCATGTATATATATATTTTTTTATATGCATCCTAAACATTTCTTCTCACTCCAACCTGACTTGGTATAGCAAATGCAAGAGTACTTTAAAATATGAGAGAGGATGAACATACTTTGTAAGGAAAAACTGGTTTGAGAATTGCCATAGAGACCTTGGCCTGCCTTAGATTCGTGATTTCTGCAAGAGTTTGCGGGAAGGGAGGTTTCCTTTTCTTTTTATTTTTAATTGAAACTGGCTTTTTAAATTAACTAATCAAATATATTAATTGAAGAAGATTTAAAAACCTGTCAGGGGCGATTAACCTTTTACTAAATTAGTAAATACATGTGGTATTTGCATTGTTCATTTTTTATTGCAAGTTTTGATGGAAATATCGTAAAATAAGAGAATTCGTTCAACTTCTATTTAAAGTAGAGGAATACTAAATGATTTTTTTCATCAGTCATAATAAATAAGTGCCTTTTGGAACCACAAAGGTCGACCTAATTAGAATCATTTGTAAACACATCATGTTTGACTGACGTATTTAGGTACCTCTTTATACCAAAAAATAAAAATAATTACGAATATTTTGACAGTTATGCACTATGTAGATTTAAAGATATATATTTATAAACATCTTTATTACGCCATAATTAATAGTTCGTTGGTCACAAATAGTTTTCAGGTGACATGAAAGCGAACCTTAATTAGCCCAATCAGAATCTAAACTACTGCATCGAAGAATTTTATTATTATCTGTCTGACAATTATCAATTATAAAATTGTAGTATAATATTTTAAAAAGTTAACTTGTTCTTCACCTCAAGCACCTGTTGTGCATTTTATTGCACAATTTAGTAATAGTGACGTCATTGTTGCTTTACTTTTGAGTGACATGAGCAAGAATACTCAGTAATATTTCTGCGACATAACAATAATCATGAGTAATGATAAACAACTGTATACAGCTAGTTGAAATACCCTATGGCAATAAAAATAACTAGAGGTACTGTGAGCAATGAGCTCACTAAATGATACCCCCGCCTCCCATATAAATATAATGGCAGTGTCCATGTTTTGCTCTGGAAAATCAAAAATATATGTCAGATCAAAAATTAAAATAGGGGGTGCACAATGGCAATATGTAATTAAGAATCTGTGAAAGTTTCATTAAATTTCCTCAAGTGGTATGAGAGGAGTTGCGGATAAGAGATGGGTACCCCAAAGCGTAACAGACGGACGGACATACCGATTACTATATACCCTCCCACTTTTCAAGCGGGGGGTATAATAAAAACGATAATATAAATCATGGTTTCCATTGCCTCAGTTGTGTATTTCGTGATTAGCAATTGAATATTTAAAATAATAATGATTCAGTATTGATAAAATCATTTCAGTCAAAACAAACCAATACATCATACTCCAGTCTCTACTTGAAATTCGTCCATCAAACCTATTGAGCAGAACAAAAGCCATGCAAATGAAACGATTCGGATTGTACATGTGTAAACTTTGAATTTTTCCGTTTAAAATGAAACGAAATACAAAATGACGTATAGCTTAGAGACCATGTTAATTCAAGACTGGGTTTCTTGCCGTTGACCATTGACGAACCTTTCAAAACCAGTACAGAATACTGCAATAGAAACACCAATCCAGAAAAAATTATGCATGTAAAAAATAATTCATACATTTCTTATCAGAAACATCTAGTCTAACATTTACCGAAACTCCTGTATGGTCGTCAATCATAACGATATAATGAAAGAGCAGTTCTAGACACTATTAGACAAATTTGATTTATATGCGGTATATTGTATCGAAATGAACAAATGTCAAATTTTGAAAACTTTGAAATGTTATTTAATAAAAAAAATATAAATTAACAGAGAATATTATAGTGTCAAATAGTGTATTCACAATTTTTGTTTTTATGACGTCACAAACCAGTCCGATTTTATATTCTTTCAGAAAAAAGACAAAATGGACAAAATTTCAACAATTTTAGCTTTAAAATTTATAGTACAGTGACAGAACAAGAACATATTTCATTAATATTATCATCTACACATTATATCAAAATAAGCTCCAACACATATCTATTACCTTGTCAAAATATCAAATGTGTACATTTTTCTGTAAAATTCATTAAAAAGTGAAATTTACGTCATGTTTGTTTATTTTACATATGGCGTCATTACTTATGAAAATACAGTGTTTTAAGTAGCATATACTGACTGTTTAAAAAAAATTATATCTCCATCAAAGTTTGATTTTGGGGGCAAATATTGGTTAATACCGAATAAAGTTCTTTGATTTACAAGCTTTTGTATCGAAATGAACAACTGCATTTTTTACACAATCATTTATTATTTCAAATAAAAAGAAAAATAAATAAATGCAATTTTCGAGCTAAATATATAAGTCAAGAATGCTTTGGCATTTTATATGGTAGCTATCGGATAACACTTTTTCCATATCAAAAAGTTATTCTTCAGTACAGTGACAGAATAGAGAACATATTTTGCATTAATATTTCATCATACAACAAAACGTAGAAAAAGGCAAATATATCTATTACCTTGTCAAATATCAAATCCGCAGAAATTTCTTCACTGATAAAAAATATATGTATTTTTTTTTTTTACATTCGTACATATGATAATGATACATTTACAGGTAATTGTCTGCCATCTAAAAAAAATGACGGCGCACCTCACCTCTGGATCATAATTTGCTATTTACAAAAGGAGTACAGCTGTACATCTCACCTCAGGATCATAATCTGCCACCTACTAAAGGAGTACAGCTGTACATCTCTAGATCATAATTTGCCATCTGTTAAAAGGAGTTCAGTTGTACATCTCACCTTAGGATCATAATCTGCCATCTGTTTCAGGAGTTCAGCTGTACATCCCATTCAAGGATCATAATCTGCCATCTACAAAAGGAGTGCGGTTGTACACATCACCCCAGGATTATAATCTGCCATCTACTAAAGGAGTTCAGCTGTACATCTCTAGATCATAATCTGCCATCTACTAAAGGAGTACATAGCTGTACATCCCACCCATACAAGATCATACTTCTTGTTTTATAGGCATTGTGTGCATGTTGCCCAATGTATTCAGTATTCTGAATACTAGTAGTCCAATTTAGACCATCTACTTTGGAACAATCAAAACTTCTTATGCGACTTCAAGTAATTTGTCAAGTTGTGATGTTTATAGTGTTGCTGAAAAGTTAAAACACTAAAATCTCAAAAAGCCAACATGTTTGGAAAAGAAAATGAAATATATGTATCTATAATATTGAGGTTGTACTATTTAAGAATCTCACTTTCTTATTCACTAGTAATTTAAAATATAATTTTGAACTTACTACTAAGCTATGAAGCTTTTAAAAACCAAGAACACATAGATGATCAAAGCAAGTGGTATATGAACTCTGATTATCATACTAGTATTTCAGTTTCTAAATACATCCCATATAAAATACACACACATCTGGATTTCCAAAATGTACTAGTTTCCTTTACTGAAGTAAAAAAGAATTTGTTTTCACTTTGCTGGAAGTAGAGAATACATCCTATTTATAGATATAAATAAACACACACATGAGCTCACGGATTTCCTATGGTTATAATGAAAAAGTATGTGGCCGGGAAACCCAAAATATGTTTCCTAAAATTGCACAATGGCAATATGTAATAAAGATTCTGTGAAAGTTTGTCAAATTTCATTCAGTGGTATGTTACGGATAAAGATAGAGAAGCGTAACAGACGGACGGACAGAAGTGACGCTATTATATAGACTATAATACCCTCCCGCTTTTCTAAATAAAAAATATATTTACATATTCACTGTACAGACGATAATTAAAATTATTACCGAATGTTCAAATATATCATGAAT